CAAGAAGCTTTCAAGAAGGCCCCACAACGGCCAAGATGTCCCCAAGGCAGCCCCAAGAGGGCTCCAAGACGGTCCAGGAGACCCCCAAGCCAGCCCTAAAGCGCTCCAAGAGGACTCCAAGCCAGCCCAGAGAGGACCCCAAGACGGCATCCGAAGGCGTCAGACGGGCCAAGAGAGCCCCAGGACGGCCCAGGAACCCCTCAAGATGCTACAGACAGGGCAGACAGCCCGAGAGAACACATACACGCGGAATCTAATAGACAATGCGTCGACAAGGCGAGAGGCGTGCACACCTGTCAGGCGGGAGATAGCTTGGGCAACCGGCAAGCTTCTGCCGCGGTGAACCGGAATGCGAAGAGGCAGATTCATGTGCCAAGATGTTTGCTCGCGGAGGCTCCTGTACCCACGGTCATGCCGGCCCGTGGCGCACCAGGCGTGACACAAAACTGTGGACAAATGCCGGGGCGCGACGGAATCGCTCTTCCACCGCCCCGAACCATTCTGCTCTCCTCGTTCTCCTGCTCCTGCACCTCCACCTGCTCCTCCTGTCATGCCTGCCTCTGCTGTGCCTCCTCCCACTCGTCTCTCCTCTCCTCTCTCCTCTCCCCTCTCCTCTCTCTTCTCTCCTCTCTCCTCTCTCCTCTCTCCTCTCTCCTCTCTCCTCTCTCCTCTCTCCTCTCTCCTCTCTCAACTCTCCTCTCTCAACTCTCCTCTCTCCTCTCCTCTCTCTCCTCTCTCTCTCTCTCCTCTCTCCTCCTCCTCCTCCTCCTCCTCCTCCTCCTCCTCCTCCTCCTCCTCCTCCTCCTCCTCCTACTCTTACTCCTACATCTACTCCTACTCCTACTCCTACTCCTACTCCTACTCCTACTCCTACTCCTACTCCTACTCCTACTCCTACTCCTGCTCCTCCTCCTCCTCCTCCTCTCCTCCTCCTCCTCCTGTCCTTTCCTCCTCCTCCTCCTCCTACTACTACTACTACTCTTACTCCTACTCCTACTCCTGCTCCTGCTCCTACTCCTATCCTTATTCCTTATATTCGAATATACTCTTACTCCCCCGTCTGGCCGGACGATAGCGGTTCCATCTGGGCCCTCCCATCGTAACTGTAAAAAATCCATACAAAGGCGTCGTTGTTCTCTCAACATGGCCTTTCTTGTCGTCGACGATGCGAAATGCGTAGCAGGAATAGGACGCGGCGCGCATCGCGCGCGGCCGTCAATCCGTGCCCTACCATCCTGACTGCAAAACAAATCCATACAAAGTCGCCGTTGTTTCTCTCAACATGGCCTCTCTTGTCGTCGACGATGCGACATGCGTAGCAGGAATGGGACGCGGCGCGCATCGCGCGCGGACGTCTGGGGCAACCCCATGCGGGAGGGGCCATCCGACCTTTCGAAAACACATACAAAGTAGACATGCTTCTTCTCAGCGAGGGCTTTCTTGTCGTCGGCTTTGCGATATGCGTGGCAAGAATGGGTGGCGGTGCACACCGCGCGCGACAGGCTGAACTGTCGCTCCCGCTTCGGCGCCGCGCGCATGTTTTCTGAAAGTTGCGCTCCCGCTGAGGCGCGGCGCACATTTTTCGCTCGCCAATTCGTCGAGCGCCAAGGGCCACCTGGGGCCTCTCAGGGTCTCCTGGAACATCCTGGGGTTTCCCCAGGGCTTCGTGGATCCTCCTGGGGCCTCCTGAGGCATCCTAGGGATTCCTGGGATTCCCAGGGCTTCCTGACACCTCCTAGGGCTTCCTGGAGCCTCCTGGAACCTCCTGGGGCTTCCTGGGCCCTCCTGAAGCCTCCTGGGGTTTCTGGGGTTCGCTGGGGTTTCCTGCAACCTCCTGGGGCCTCCTGAGGCTTCCTGGGGCCTCTTGAAGCTTCCTGGGGCCCGCTGGGGCTTCCTGCAACCTCCTGGGGCCTCCTGAGGCCTCCGGCTTCCTGAGGCCTCGTCGGCTCGTGCTGAAATGCCAGCACAGTCTTTGAGATGCGCTAGGAATTTCTGATCGGTAACCGCCATCGCGGCTGCATCAGCTGTGGCCAACCACCTTGCCGATCTGATTTCGGTCTCCAGTTGCGCCAGCACTGTTTCTTATGTTGTGGGAGGGCGGGTGGGAATGGGCATGCCATGCTTGGCTCGCTCGAGCTGGCTAGCTTGACTCCTACTCCTACTCCTAGTCCTACCCTTCTCTCCTCTCTCCTCCTCCTCCTCCTCCTCCTCCTCCTCCTCCTCTTCCTCCTCCTCCTCCTCCTCCTCCTCCTCCTCCTCTTCCTCGCCTCATCTAAAAAAGGTTCAGCAGTCAGCCCGTCAAGCTGCATTGTGGGCCGTCGTCTTCGCAGGGGACGCGCCATCGGCCATGGCAGTTGCGACCCCCTTGTCCTGCGCGCGCTCAGTTCCACTCCGCCCCTGGTCCCCAGCCCACCTGCAGCGCTCGCTCGTGCCTCCGCTCTCGTTCCTCCTCCTCCTCCTCCTCCTCCTCTTCCTCCTCTTCCTCCTCTTCCTCCTCTATATGCTCATTCTTGTCCTCCACCGCCACCTGCTCCTGTTCATTCCGGTCGTCTTTTGGCGCCACCAGGGTGCCGAACAGGGCACGGGCCTTGTATGCGCACTGTACGTGGCAACTGCAAGCACATATGAGACACATTGAAGGGATATCGCGTGTGTATAACGAGGTGCAGCAATCAGGTGCCGCTTTGGTGAACAATATATTCCTTGGCGGCGGCCCGAGTGGTAGTTCATGGATCATGAATGTAACATGTCATGCGGGTCCTATTGTCACTTACGACTTGATGCGAACTGCGTGGATGTACTGTCTAATCCACTCAGAATGCAATCTCCTGTCTGCTTGCCGCCCACTGTCTATTACCATAGCAAAGCCTTCAGGAGGCGCCCAGGAGATGCGGTGGAGGAGGAGGAGGCGGCGAAGGGAAAAAAGACAGGAAGAAGAGGCGGCGGCGGGAGGAGGGAGGAGCAAGGAGGGAGGGGGAGGACTGACCCCCCTTATCTTCAAAGACCGACGGCGACGACGCCGACGACGATGACAGCCCGCGCTCCTCGGCCGCCTCCGCCGTGCCCTCCAGGAGCGCGCGCACCTTCGCGCGGTCCTCGAGGATACCTCCGCCCAGGGAACTGGTATTTGGGTGAGAGGCACACCATCGCGCTGAGGAGCGGGACGAGTGAGGAGGGCTGGGGGGAGGAAGAGGGCAGGGGGGAAGGACGACGGAGGGATGATGAGGCGGAGGAGGAGGAGGAGGAGGAGGAGGAGGAGGAGGAGCAGGAGGAGGAGGAGGAGAGGAGGAGGGGGGGGAGGGATGATGATGAGGCGGGGCAGGATGAGGATGAGGATGAGGATGAGGATGATGATGCTGATGCTGATGCTGCTGCTGATGATGATGATGATGATGATGATGATGAGGAGGAGGAGGAGGAGGAAGAGAGGAGGAGGAGGGGGCGAGGGAGGGATGATGAGGCGGGGCAGAATGAGGATGAGGATGAGGATGAGGATGATGATGCTGATGCTGATGCTGCTGCTGCTGATGATGATGAGGAGGAGGAGGAGGAAGAGGAGGAGGATGAGGAGGAGGAGGAGGAGGAGGAGGAGGAGGAAGGAGGATGAGGAGGAGGAGGAGGAGGAGGAGGAGGAGGAGGAGGAGGGCTCCTTCGCAGGGAGGAGCCAGCCCGCAGCTCGAGCTCGAGGATGAGGAGCCAGGGATCAGAGCGGGAGGAGGTGGATGATGGAGGGAGAGAAAGGGGGGACGAACGGGGGGAGGGAGGAGGGGCAGGAGAACGGAGATAAGGCAGATGGAAAGGAGTAGGCTCCTCGTACCTCTACTAGAGGTACGAGGAGCAGGAGGGAGGGAGGGAGGGAGGGAGGGAGGGAAATAGACGGAGGACGGATGGAAGCGGATGGTAGGATCGAGTCGTATCAACAGGGTCTTAGAAGAGGTTACGGGATTGGGAGGTCAAGGAATGGGACCGTAATCAGGGAGCAAGATGTCAAATATCATCAACACGAATCGCAACGTCACCAGCGGCCACATCTCGGAAACGTAAGTTTCAGATTCCCCTGTGGCCTGGAGATGGTGTTGCCAGAGCTCCACTGCCGGGCCTGAACTTGATATCGCCCGCTTGCAAAACGAAGTTCCTGGCCCTAACGCCCTGCGCTTCATTCTCCCACATCCCCACTGCCAGGCCTGATCTGGACTGATCTGGACCAACCAGGTGCAGCAATCACAACGGCCCCGCGCTCCATGTTGCCAGAACTTCATTGCCGGGCGCAGTGGAGAGGACAGGATTAAAAGCCCGCACGTCATCGGCGTTGAGATGGTAATCGTCAAGGCTGCCGCACGGACACACACACACACCATCTTCTGTCAAACTCGCTGTTGGGATTCCTCCCGGAGTTCTGTTTTGGCCGCCGGCGCGGTGACGCTCGGCCCCGCAGCGCGCCTGCCTTGGGCACGAGGCAGGCTCCGCCCCAAACGGCCAAAGCCGTTTTGGCCGCGCGATGTGCCGCACCTGCTCCCCTCCTTGCGGGCGGCCAGCACCACGACGGCCTCTGGACCCCCCACGACGCCGACCTGGACGAGGAGGAGGAGTGTAGAAGGGAAGAGGAGGAGGAGGAGGAGGAGGAGGAGGAGGAGGAGGAGGAGGAGGAGGAGGACGAGGAGGAGAGACGAGGACGACGAGGAGGAGGACGACGAGGAGGAGGAGGAGGAGGAGGAGAGGAGGAGCCTTTCTCCGCCGCGGCGGCCAGAGCCTGCTCCCGCGCTGACGGTCGAGGCCGCCGGCTCGCGGACCTGCCTGCGCTCGGCCGCTGGGGCCCCGATGGCCAAGCTCCTCCTCCTCCCTCCTCCTCCTCCTCCCTCCTCCTCCTCCTCCTGCTCCTCTCCTCCTCCTCCTCCCTCCTCCTCCTCCTCCTCCTCCTCCTCCTGCTCCTCCTCCTCCTCCTGCTCCTCCTCCTCCTCCTGCTCCTCTTCCTCCTCCTCCTCCTCCTCCTCCTCCTCCTTCCTCCTCCTCGATCCTCCAGCGGGCCTGCGCCCTGCTGGAGCACAGCGCCCGCGCGGACGCCGGCGGGGCCCTGTGAGGCCGACCCACGGAAGCAGCGGCATTGGCGGCGGCAAGCCCGCAGAGACCGTGGCGCCCAGTGTGGCGTCAGGGCCGCGTAGCCAGCGGCGCCCAGAACGAGTCACCGGCTCCACTCGGGTCGGGCGAAAGGGGGGGATAGCAAAGGGGGGGTTTGAGAATCAGCTCACGTAGCTGATTTTCCCGGCGCCGGGAGGCGCCCATGTATCGAGGAATGGGCCCCTCGGTGAGGCCGAAACCAGCTGCATGTAGCCAATTTTGTAACCCCCCTTTCCCAATCCCCCCCTTTCGCCAGGCCCGATCCACCGAGGGCTCTCCTGGGCAGCACATGTCGGCCCCCCCCACGAAAGCGCAGGGCAACTCGCGGCGGCATGCGCTGGAAGGCGACGTGCTGCCAGAAACTGTGGTCACCTGCGGCGCGCCGCGGCAGTCGGCCGCGTCGCTTGCGCCAAAATTACTACGGAGAGGATGATAAGTGAAATGGAAGGAGGAGGAGAAGGAGGAGGAGAAGGAGGAGGAGGATGAGGAGGAGGGGGAGTTGCCTCAGCGTTTCCTGACGCCCACAGTCGGGTGGAACGGCCCGATCCACCGAGGGCTCTCCTGGGCAGCACATGTCGGCCCCCCCCACGAAAGCGCAGGGCAACTCGCGGCGGCATGCGCTGGAAGGCGACGTGCTGCCAGAAACTGTGGTCACCTGCGGCGCGCCGCGGCAGTCGGCCGCGTCGCTTGCGCCAAAATTACTACGGAGAGGATGATAAGTGAAATGGAAGGAGGAGGAGAAGGAGGAGGAGAAGGAGGAGGAGGATGAGGAGGAGGGGGAGTTGCCTCAGCGTTTCCTGACGCCCACAGTCGGGTGGAACGCTCAAGCTCGGCAGGGGGGATGGCGGAGGGCCTCCTCACGCCTCCGCGGCCGCCACCGAGACCCGTCGATTGGGGTGCAAACCCCTCTGGATCCGCGCAAGGTTCTCGCGGCCCTTCCGAGTCTCTCCCCCGCAAGCCCCTGAGAGGTTGCACGGGTTGATGGTGGCGGTGCGCCCGCACCGAGCACAAAAGACCAAGCCGGGGCGGGACCACAGCTGCAAAGAATGGGACTCGTGCAGCCTCTTTCATCTCTACCCAACTCTCCCCGCCCGCCCCACGAATGATGACAGCAGGGTGCCTGTCGGGACGCCCTGCCAAGGCGAATGATGACAGCAGGGTGCCTGTCGGGACGCCCTGCCACCGCGTGGCAGGCGGTGGCGCGTTCGGCCTCAAGCGTGCTGGCAGCCACGAGCTTGTGGTACAGCGCGCAGGCCCACTGTCGCCCCGCCCGGACCAGAAGAGTGAGCGGATGACGACGGAACCTTCTGGAGAGCGGGCTCGGGGGGACGGAGGGGGACGGAGGAGGACGGAGGAGGACGGAGGAGGAGGAGGAGGAGGAGGAGGAGGAGGAGGAGGAGGAGGAGGAGGAGGAGGAGGAGTTTCCTCAGCGTTTCCTGACGCCCACAGTCGGGTGGAACGCTCAAGCTCGGCAGGGAAAATGGCGGAGGGCCTCCTCACGCTTCCGCGGCCGCCGCCGAGACCCGTCGATTGGGGTGCAAACCCCTCTGGATCCGCGCAAGGTTCTCGCGGCCCTTCAGAGTCTCTCCCCCGCAAGCCCCTGAGAGGTTGCACGGGTTGATGGTGGCGGTGCGCCCGCATCGAGCACAAAAGATCAAGCCAGGGCGGGGCCACAGCTGCAAAGAATGGGACTCGTGCAGCCTCTTTCATCTCTACCCAACTCTCCCCGCCCGCCCCACGAATGATGACAGCAGGGTGCCTGTCGGGACGCCCTGCCACCGCGTGGCAGGCGGTGGCGCGTTCGACCTCAAGCGTGCTGGCAGCCACGAGGAGAACGAGGAGGACGACAAGGAGAACGAGGACGACGACGACGACGACGAGGACGAGGAGGGAGAGGGCGGCCGGAGGCAGCTTCTGTGCCCCCCGGGGCCCCTCGGAGCCGCTGCGTGCAGCTCGGCCGACCGGCGCGGCGACGCCATCAAACCGCCAGGCCGCTGGACTTCGTCGTCGTCGTCGTCGTCGTCGTCGTCGTCGTCGTCCGTCGTCCGTCGTCCGTCGTCCGTCGTCCGTCGTCCGTCGTCCGTCGTCCGTCGTCCGTCGTCGTCGTCGTCGTCGTCGTCGTCGTCGTCGTCGTCGTCGTCGTCGTCGTCGTCGTCGTCGTCGTCCGTCGTCCGTCGTCCGTCGTCCGTCGTCCGTCGTCCGTCGTCCGTCGTCCGTCGCCCGTCGTCGTCGTCGTCGTCGTCGACGTCGTCGTCGTCCGTCGATGTTGTCGTCGTCGTCGAGGAGTGAGACGAAGAGGAACGAGAGGAGAAAGAGGAAGAGCAGGACGTTAGGGCATGTACCCAGACCGCTTTCGCCAGTGCGCAGCGTACAGCGAAGGGTTAGAAGCGAAACGAATTCAACTGTTTAAAATCTGCGTTTAAACAGTCGATCCTCTCAGTGAGGCCGTCCTTTGCGGATCCGACTGAATATACAGGTTAAATTAGCCATGCAAGCAACTGCTCAATGTTTATCCCAGCTGATCCTCTCAGTGAGGCCGGACTTTGCGCCTCCAGCTGGTTTAAACACAAAAGTTGAACAGATGTTTAGCTGCACGCTGCCAAGCTGCTGGGAGGATGTGGAAAGGAGAGAAAACAGGTTACCTCGCATGCGACATCACCTACCGTTTAGCGCCTGGCCCGCGAGCGCGAACATCTTGTCTACCTGTTTAGCGGCGGTCGCGGGCGCGTGAGCGCACTTCCAAGGCTTTCGCAGATCCGCCGAGCCCTCGTGGGTCTCTGGGCGCGTGAGATTCCCCTCCAAAGATTCTTTCCCCCCCACCCCCCAGGGGCCCCAAAACTGGGAATTTGACCCCCCCCCCCAGGCCTTGGGGGATTAAGGGTCCCCCGACGACCTAAGAGGGCCCCAAGACGCACCCAAGACGGTTCAAGAAGGCCCCGAGTCTCTGAAAGATCGCTCCAAGACGCCCAAAATAGCCCCAAGACGGCTGAAGAGCCCTCCAAGAGCACTTCCAAGAGGCCAAATCATAAATGTTCTGAAAAAATCTGTGGAGGATTTTGGTATTCTCGCCTTTTCGGCCTTCCGCCGCTCCATGACGTCCCTAGAAGCCTCCAAGACCACTCCAAGACGGCCCAAGAAGCCTCCAAGAGGGCCCCAAGACGGCCCCACAGGGCGCCCAAGACGGCCCAAGAGGCGCCCAAGACGGCCCACGAGGGCCCCCAGACAGCCTCAAGAGGGGCCCAAGAAGGGGAACGCGAACCGAAAATCCGAGCCTCCGGCCCCAAGAAGCCCCGAGGAGGCCCCCAAGAGGCCCCCCAAGAGGCCTCAAGAGGCTCCCCAGATGCCTAAACGAGGCCCCAAAACGATCCCCAGAGGCCTCAAAACTGCCTCTAGGAGGCTCCCGAGAGGCTTCCCACGAGACCCCAACGAACATCCAAGAGGCCTATGACCCACAACCCAGGCACGGCGGCGGGATGGGCCGAAGGCCATTACGTAGATATAGGGGTCGGCGGACCCCAGAGGCCTCCCAGACGGCCCAAGAGGCCTCCAAGAGGTCCTCCAGGAGAGTCCGAAGAGGCCAAAATCATTGATTTTCCTTGGTTTTTGAAGGATTTTGGCATTTGCGCCTTTTCGGCTCTCCGACGGCTCAAGACGGCCCAAGAAGCCCCCAAGATCGCCCAAGAGGCCCCCAAGAGAGCCCCCTGATGGCCCAAGTGGCCTCCAAGATGGCCCCTAGAGGGCCCCAAGACGGCCCAAGAGGCCTCCAACGCGCCCAAGATGGCCTCCAAGACGCCCAAGATGGCCTCCAAGACGGCCCTGGAGCATTCCAAGCGGGGTCCAAGTCGGCCCATAGAGGCCCCCCAAACGGCTTCCGACGGCTTCAGACGTGCCAGGAACCCACCAAGATGGCCGAAGTTGGCTCGAAGCTGGCCCGAGACGGCCCAAAAAGCCCCACAGATCGCCCAAAGCTTGCCCAAGAGGCCTCCAAGACGGCCAAGATGACCTTCAAGATGCCCACGTGTTCCCCGAAGGCTTTCCAAACCGATTCGGGGAACACGTGGTCCGATAGCTTGGCAGGTCTGGCCTCAACGTTCGGCCACATAGGCGCTTCCAAAAAGGCAGGGGGCGGCGGTGATTCGCCGTAGGCGTCTTCGATATGGGGGTCGGCGGATGTGGCGCAAGCCTGTAGAATCATAACTGTCACTGTAACGGCGCGGGCTGGAAAGCTGCAGTCCTACAAAAAAACACTCGTACAGAGGAGACACAATGGCCAACCCAGAGGCAAAACGCGCATATAATATGTGAGCCACTGGCAGAGTAGCAGCTCATGGCAGCAGCCTCGCAGTGCACCGTGCACCGCTAAGGTTGCACTTAGAAGAAAGGACGGGGCTGAGAGAAGACATGGAACAGGAGGAACCCAGAAGCCTCCATGTAGGCTCGACTGCCCGAGGCGCGAGCCTGGCACTGCAGTCGCTCCCGATGGAGCACAGGCCCAAGAAGACACGAACGCAAAGCTAGGTAACTATGGCTGCGGTGGCAGCCTGGTGCTCGATAGAGCAGCAGCTTAATTCATAGTGCTCCGGAAGCCTCGGAAAAATGGGACGCTGCACAAAGCGAAATCACTTGTCACTGCAGGCGCAACAAGGATCCGAGCACAGAGCAAGCTTCTCAAACGCAGAGGCGAAAACTTAATGACCATGCTGCGAAGGAGTGGTGCTGCAGCATTTGCAGCCACCGTGCGGAGTAGG